TTTACCTTTGTCTTTGAGAATTTGGGTTAATGTAGAATTCTTCACTCACCATGAATTTCGGAAGGCATTTCTTTAGTATCTCCTGGTGTTGAATTTGCTGTTGGAAGGTCCACTCCCAATAAGCATGCAAATCCATTGAAAATAATTTGCATTTTTATGAAGAAACAATTTTAGGATTTTTTGTTTGTTTACAGGCCAGATCTCTTTGTATTTTTTAATGACTTGAAAATTATATAATACAAAAATAACGTTTTAAAACCCACAACTCAGGCTGGACACAGTGGCTGAGGCCTATAATCTCAGCACTTTGGCAAGCCGAGGCAGGCAGATCACCTGAAGTCAGGAGTTTGAGACCAGCCTGGTCAACATGGTGAAACCCTGTCTCTACTAAAAATACAAAAATTAGCTGGGCATGGTGTCAAACACCTATAATCCCAGATACTTGCGAGGCAGGGACAGAACTGCTTAAACCCAGGAGGCAGAGGTTGCAGTGAGCAAAGATCACACCACTGCACTCTAGCCTGGGAGACACAGCAAGACTGTCAAAAATAAAAGATGCAAAACCCACAATTCAGCCTAGAATTAGTTAATTAAATTTACATTTGATATTTTTACTTAGGATTGGTTTGGCATTCATGCCCTTTTTTGGTTCCATATTAATTTTAGGATTGTTTTTTCTAATTCTATGAAAAATGATGTTGGCATTTAGATGGGAATTGCGTTGAATCTGATGATTGCTTTGGGCAGTATGATCATTTTCATAATATTGATTCTTGCAATCCATGAGCATTGGCTATGTTTCCATTTGTGTCATCTACAGTTTCTTTCTGCAGTGTTTTGTTGTTCTTCTTGTAAAGATCTTTCACCTCCTTGCTTAGGTATATTCTTGGGTATTTTAAATTTTTTGCAACTGTTGTACAAGGGATTGAGTTTTGCAGCAACTTAAATGGAGCTGCAGGTCACTATTCATGACACCACACTCAGCTAATTTTTTTACAGATGACGTTTTGCCATATTTCCCAGGCTGGTCTTGAACTGGCCTCAAGTGACCCGCCTGCTTTGATCTCTCGAAGTGCTGGGAAGTACAGGCATGAGCCACAGTGCCCCGCCACTCATAACACTTTTGATCATTAGGATGATTCCTCCTTCTTGTCATTCTTGGACACTTACCCCCAACAGGCCTCATCTGTCAGAGAGGGTTTCTACCAGGGCTGTGCTGGGAGTTACAGCTTGAAAAGGGGAGATGGTTCCACCTGCCAGTGTCACGTGAGTCTGCTCAGGGCTTTGCTCAGCAAGGGAGGGTCCAATGTAAGCCTCAGACTCACATGTGGGACATACACTGATGTCTGGTAATGCTGCAGTGAATCTGTTTCACACACACATGGAGGAGGTGGCTCGGGGCTGACCATGGAACTAAGTCAAAAGCAGAGGTATTCCAGTGCCATCCACCAACCCAGGGGAGGAGGAGCCACAGCTTCTGTCCTTCATTTGAAATCCTGGCACTTCCCTGTCTGCGGGGTCCCTGGGCCTGGGGCTCTCTTCTGTCTCACACAGAAGTCAAAACTTCCCCCCTCAGTCACCCCTGGACATTGCAAGTCACCAGCAGCCACTCAGCTCTGGCCTCTGCTGCTTCTTAAGGTTTCCGGCCTGTGTCAGGAAGTTTCATTTCTCATTTCTTCATAGGATCATGGCTACATATTTCAGAAACTTTGTAAGTAGGTTTTCTCAGTGTTTGGAGCAGATGTGGGCTGCTGGGCACATAAGTGGTTCACCATGACTGTGCAGTCCAACACCAGGATCCACTCATGTTTCAACCCCTCAGGTCTTAACCTGGTCTGGAAAAGTACAACTGATGCCCTCCCATGACCCAGGCACAACTGGCCCCCAAAACCACTCAGGAGGAGGTTCATGACAATAGGCCGTGAGGAAACTGAAGCTCAGAGATGGGACTTACTGCCCAAGGTCATGCAGGCAGAGATAAAGGTCAGCAATTCAGAAAATAAAATTGATTCCCTATCCCACCACAAAATCAAAGCTCAAGACTAAGTACTTGTTCCCAAACCCTTCGATTCAGACTGAGATGCAGGAGAATGCCCAAGGAAACAGGGTTGGAGGCGGACATCGATGAGGCAGGAATGATTCAGAAGTTACTCTTAAGGGAGGTGGAGGGGAACGCTATTAAAAAATGGGGGGAAAAGGGAAGTATAAAAAGGAAAGTGAAAGAAACAAAACCCATACTCCAAAGATAAAAAGAAGAGTGAGCAGTTCTTTGTTTCTCCTTTTTTCTCATTGCCACCTGCAGCCCAACTTGAATTTCACAGCCAGATGTGAGCTACGTCTCTGCTGATACAAGTCTGCCCCACAGCATGGACCTGCAACTTCTGGGAAACATCTCCAGGGCTGGAGAGATGACTGCCTTGGTAAGGATCCCACAATGCTGTTTTGATGGACAGCCTAAAGGAGAGAAGAACCCGTGGGGAGGTTCTGAGAAGAACAAGCACCTAGTAACCCTCACTTAGAGAGGACAGACTCAGAAAGGTGCTGGGTCTGTTGGTTCCTATGTCCTGACCCTTGATGAGATGAGGACAGATGAGGCAAACAGCAGAAAAAAATCAGGGAGACACCATTTCTGTCTGAAATGTATGAAGAGAGCTGGTGGCTGCCCCAGCCCCATCTATAAGGAAATGAAAGCCAGGCTCCCACAGAGGGCAGTTCCCCTTCCTGTGGGGCTGCTGATGGGACAACCTCAAGATGAAGAATCCAGGCTCCCAGTAGGTTTACTCCATCCAGGCACTGTAGCCTCATCCATCTGCACAGCCAGGGGCTGTAGGAGGCGACGCTATGACTCCCACCCTCAAAACCCTCATCTGTCTTGGTAAAATTCAAAGAGGAAGAGGGGAGACTATAGCCTGGGAGGAATTCCACCTCACAACTTGGTCCGGATCAATTAGGAGACCCCGGAGTTTCACAGAGATCCCAAGGTGGGGAGGATCTGCCCAGGGTTCAGAAGGCAAATCTCTCACAGGAAACTCCATGACCCCCTCCCTATGCTGCACCTGTGCCTCAGTGGGATTTGGAGAAGATGCCTCAGATTATAGGGTATTGTGTCTTTCACCAACAAAACCATACAAAAAAACACCTGGACATTTCACATCAGTGGATAAAGCATATCTTGTGCCAAATCAGGACCTACCTGCAGTGAATTTTAGAGCTCACACTATAGTTACTCACCTTTGGGGAAAAGCATTCCAGGTTTGTGTCTATCTCTGTGATAATGTCTCCCTTCCTGGGTACAGATAATGGATTAAAGTAACACTAGCTGAACAGAACTATATTCACTTGATGATTATACTGAAAAACAGCCATAAAATTGTTCCCTCAAACTCCAATTCCCCTTTTGACTTTTGAAAGTTCTCAAGATATACAAATGGCCAAGAAACATGAAAAACATGTATGTATGTGTGTGTGTGTGTGTATAAAACGTGTGTGTATATATGTGTGTATACATATATGTATATATGTGTGTATATACACACACAAACACACACACATTCACATACACATACACATACACATCATGGAATACTTCAGCCATAAAGAACAAAATAATGGCATTTGCAGCAACCTAGAGGCAGTTGGCGACCATTATTCTAAGTTAAATAACTCAGGAATGGAAAACCAAACATTCTATGTTCTCCTAAGTGGAAGCTAAGCTATGAGGATGCGAAGGCATAAGAATCATGTAGTGAACTCTGGGGACTCAGGGGAAAGGATGGGACGGGATGAGGGGTAAAAGACTACACACTGGGTACACTGTACACTGTTTGGGTGATGAATGCACTAAAATCTCAAAAATCACCACTAAAGAACTTATGGATGCAACTAAACACCACCTGTTCCCCAAAAACTACTGAAACTTTAAAACAATAAATAAATTAACCACATTAACAACAGCAAAATTAACCACATTAACAACAACGGCAAAAATCCACTTCCACTTAGCATAATGTTTTCACCGTCTATGCATGTTATATCACGCAATTGGTCTTTGTTCCTTTATATGATTGAATGATATTCCATTCTATGGATATATCACATTTTATTTATACATTCACCAGTTGATGGACATCTGGATTGTTTTCACTCTTTATTATAAATAATGACACAAAAGAACATATGTTTGGAGTTTTTACTTTTAAAAAGTTATAATCTTTTATTTTCTGAGACAGCGTCTCAGTCTGTCACCCAGGCTAGAGTGCAGTAGTGCAATCTCAGCTTACTGCAACCTGTTTCCTGGATTCAAGCAATTCTCATGCCTCAGCCTCCCAGGTAGCTCGGATTACAGGTGTGCACCACCACACCTCACTATTTTATTATTATTATTATTATTATTATTTTGTATTTTAGTAGAGACAAAGTTTCACCACATTGGCCAGGTTGGTCTCGAATTCCTGGCTTCAAGCCTTCTACCTGCCTCAGCCTCCCAGAGTGCTTGGATGATAGACATGAGCCACCACCCTGTGCCAAAAGGTTATAATCATTTAAATTCTGGTTGCAACCATATGTTTACAATTCTCCACACTTAGATTAAAAAAACATTGTATTTATAATCAATCTAGAACATAATTAATGCATCTCAATTAAGTTTCCACTGATGTACAGAAGGTTAAAGGCACAATTTTTATTCACATCTAGCAGAGTAACCAACCATAAAATCATTAGTTACTTTCAGGTTAATAACTGACATTCCTAAAATGAGCTGTTTTCAATCATAATTCTTTTGTTTTAAAAAATAAAAAATTTTATTTAGTTTTTGGAAATATAAATAGCAAAATAATTGGCAAAAACCAAACCAAAACAAATGATGTTGTATGAGGGATCATCTCTAAGTACAACAGCATTTATAAGTAAATACAAAAAATAAGTTTTATTATTGTTATTTGCTTTTCTGTTAGAAGCTTGAGTTCCTAAGATAATTTCACAGCTACACTAGCTCCTACCATGTGACTGAGTGAGGTTAAGGTCTCACTCCCATTAGGGAAATTTCCTTAGGGATTCTGAAAAAAAACAACTAAGCCCTTAGAAACTTTAAAAAATGGGTGCTTTTATTAGAATCTTTCTAACATGGAAAAAACAGCCATTGTACATTAAAACACAATCCAATTTGGGTACTCTTCAGATTTTCTAAATTCTCCACCTGATTAAGACTAGGCCACCATCTTTTCTGGCAACCCAACCTACAGCCACTGCCATCTTCCTAACTAGCAGCCCCCCAAACTGCACTAAAACTGGGATTAACAAAACTGAAGGTAACATGCTTTTTGACCTTTCTTCCTAGGAGTCAAAGGGCTCTTCAGATAGAAAAGGTCAGGAAGTTCTGCATCAAGCTTGCCTTCACACTCACTATTAGTGGAAGGGCTGTGAAATCTACCCACCGCACACCTGTACTGAGTGTTTCAGTGTACTTACCCATCACCACACAAGAAGTCAGAGTAAATTAACAAGTCACTCTGGACCAAGCCCCTCAAAACGGAGGCAAATTTGGTGAGCCGAGGTGCTTCACTGCCTGTGGTAATAACCTCAGTTCACCTGAGTCCTTTCCTGAAGAACCACATTAATCTCCTGATTCAAGAGGCACCTCTGGCCAGCACAGAGCAAGAAGGAAAGCCTAACGTCAGGGTAGGGGAATGCACATGGAATTTAGAAGTTGTGATTTAGCCTACAGCAAAAGATGGCAGCATTGCTAATATTTAGAGCTGGAAAGAGCATTGCCTGGACCACACTACTGGAGCATCTTTACTAACGCAGCTTAACAGCAGTTGCCCAGATGTCGTTGCTGGGTAGCGGTGGAAGGACCCATCCTTGGTGAACGAAGTTGCCTTTGGGATGATCGGATGGCACCAGGCACTGATCCCAATCATGCCTGATCTGGATGAGTGCTGGCAGGGAGTGCTCGGCTTGGAGGTAAAACTGCCAGAAAGGCTCCAAGAGGTGAGCACGTGGGAACTCGTCTGGATCCCCAAACTCTGACTCCATTTCACGTTTCTGAAGTAAAATGTTCTCTTTTTCTTTTGTTTCTTTTTGAATTCTCTTTTCCTCTCTTCCTCTTGTTCTCCTTCCAGCATAACTCTGAGGGCTCTCTTCAGCTTCCTATAGTTCAGAGCGCTTTTTCATGAGTTTTCTCAGTCGCTGAAGACGATGCTCCAAAGTCTCGTCTGCTGAGACTGGCGGACAGACCCCTTTCCTCACTGCAGCCTCTTTCTTCAGTTTCCTCAACTTCTCCAAAGCCCGAAGAATGTCCACCATTCTTTTGCTATCGCTTGTTTTTTCCTCACTTCAGACAGTAGGCCATCAGCAGCTGCTCGGACTTCCTGCTCTCGCTTCTTCTCCTCCACCTCCCGCACACACTTGACCCTCCAGCCGTCAATCTCCTGCTAGCGTTCCACTGCCTGCGTGGGGCCTCTGCCTCCCGCTCGGCCTCGCGTTCCCGAGTCCTCTCCAGCCCCCAAAAGGCAGCCTGGGTAAACGGCTGTAGCCGCTCGGCCAGTTCCGTACGCCTTCGGCTTCGGCCTCGCGCAGGGTCTGGATGAGGCTGTGAAGCCGCCACACCAGGCACAGAGACCCGCGCAGTCGCGCGCGCACTTCGCCAAGGCTGGGCCCAGCGTGCGTGCCCTTGGTCACCGGACAGGCCGCCCGTCGCGGCGTCCAGAAGACCGCCTCCAGGCACCCAGTCGCTGGAGGGCCGCATCCCCGAGCAAGTAGGCGGGCGGCGGCGCATCAGACCAGCGCGGGCTTCAAGGCGGCCCCGAGCCGGGAGTAGGCGACCACAGCCGCTGGCCGGCGTCGATCCCCGGGAAGGGCCGGCACTGGGACGGCAGCGGAGGCTGTGGCACCGGGTAGAAGGTGCCAGCGCCGCCGCCGAGGAGACTTCCTCGGAGGCTCGGGGCTGCAGAGCCAGCGGAGGCTGAAGGAAAGGGGCGGAGGCTCCCGGAAAAGGGCCGGGCTGCTGGGGGAGACACAGCGGGAAAGCCGGGGAGAGCAACGGCGGTGGCTGACAGCCGAAAGAGTGAGAAGCGGCGGCTGCGGTCTTGGGTGGGTCTGGCCGAAGAAGAGCGGCAACGCCATGTTCACGGCGGAGATGCTGTGGAAAGTGACAGGAATCTGAGCGGTTCCTCAGGAGACTCTTCCGGCGGAAGTGACGTCTTACGGCGCACGCCGCCAGTAGACTCGCCCTTCGGGAGGGCTCGGTCCGTAGGTGGGCTGTGCTTCAACCTTCCATTGTTGTGTTGGTAAATACTGTTTTTTTGTTGTTGTTGTTGTTGTTGTTTTGAGACAGAGTTTCACTCTGTCGCCAGGCACCAGGCTGGAGTGCAGCACAATCTTGGCTCACTGCAACCTCCACCTCCCAGGTTCAAGCAATTCTCATGCCTCAGCCTCCCGAGTTGCTGGGACTACAGGCCCACGCCACCATGCCCAGCTAATTTTTATTATTTTTAGTAGAGACGGGGTTTCACCATGTTGGCCAGGATGGTCTCGATCTCTTGACCTTGTGATCCGCCCGCCTCAGCCTCCCAAAGTGCTGGGGTTACAGGCTTGAGCTTCCGCGCCTGGCCCGGTAAATACTGTTCTTACTGAGCATGCTAGGTGCAGAGCTACTCGCTGCTCATACAGTGAGACTGAGAGTTACAGATCTTTTCTTGGAACTTCTTGTCTAGTATAACACAGTAATCAAGTAATCATGGTGAGTATCTTCGAGAGGTTGGAGAAGGTTATCCTAAGGAAATGCGGCTTCAGCTGAGGTAGTTCTACATGGCTCGCGAGGCCTCACAGTCATGGCGGAATGCAGAGTGTATAGCTTGCAGTGAACTACGAGAGAGCAATCCTGGTAATTCTTTTTTTAAAAAAATTTTAAATATATATTTTATTGCGTTTTAGGTTTTGGGGGTACATGTGAAGAACATGAAGGATTGTTGCATAGGTACATACATGGCAATGTGGTTTGCTGCCTTCTTCCCCATCACCTATATCTGGCATTTCTCCCCGTGTTATCCCTCCCCAACTCCCCACCCCCGCCCTCCACTGTCACCCCCTTAGTTTCGCGCCCACCCGCCACAGACCTCAGTATGTGATGCTCCCCTCCCTGTGTCCATGTGTTCTTGTTGTTCAACACCCGCCTGTGAGTGAGAACATGTGGTGTTTGATTTTCTGTTCTTGTGTCAGTTTGCAGAGAATAATGGTTTCCAGGTTCATCCACGTCCCTACAAAGAACATGAACTCATCGTTTTTTGTGGCTGCATAGTATTCCATGGTGAATATGTGCCACAGTTTCCCTGTCCAGTCTATCATCAATGGGCATTTGGGTTGGTTCCAAGTCTTTGCTATTGTAAACAGTGCTGCAATGAACATTCCTGTGTATGTGTCCTTATAATAGAATGATTTATAATCCTCTGGATATATACCCAGTAATGGGATTGCTCGGTCAGATGGAATTTCTATTTCTAGGTCCTTGAGGAATTGCCACACTGTCTTCAACAATGGTTGAACTAATTTACACTCCCACCAACAGTGTAAAAGTGTTCCTATTTCTCCACATCTTCTCCAGCATCTGTTGTCTCCAGATTTTTTAGCGATCGCCATTCTAACTGGTGTGAGATGGTATCTCAATATAGTTTTGATTTGCATTTCTCTAATGACCAGTGGTGATGAGCATTTTTTCATGTTTGTTAGCCTCATGTATGTCTTCTTTTGTAAAGTGTCTGTTCATATCCTTTGCCCACTTTTGAATGGACTTGTTTGGTTTTTTTTCTTGTAAATCTGTTTTAGTTCTTTGTAGATTCTGGATATTAGCCCTTTGTCAGATGGGTAGATTGCAAAAATTTTATCTCATTCTGTTGGTTGCCGATTCACTCTAATGATTGTTTCTTTTGCTGTGCAGAAGCTCTGGAGTTTAATTAGATCCCGTTTGTCTATTTTGGCTTTTGTTGCCAATGCTTTTGGTGTTTTAGTCATGAAGTCCTTGCCTATGCCTGTGTCCTTAATGGTTTTGCCTAGATTTTCTTCTAGGGTTTTTATGGTGTTAGGTCTTACGTTTAAGTCTTTAATCCATCTGGAGTTAATTTTAGTTTAAGATGTCAGGATGGGGTCCACTTTCTGCTTTCTGCACATGGCTAGCCAGTTTTCCCAACACCATTTATTAAACAGGGAATCCTTTCCCCATTGCTTGTTTTTGTGAGGTTTGTCAAAGATCAGATGGTTGTAGATGTGTGACGTTGCCTCTGAGGCCTGTGTTCTGTTCCATTGGTTTATATCTCTGTTTTGGTAATTCTTTATTTTTAAAAATATATATTTGCCATGTGATGGTAATTTGCAATAGGTGTCATAATGAGAATAACCAAAATTGGGTAAATGTGACAAAAGATTGACAAATTGTTTCACACCCTTAAATTATACTACATCAAGAATGAGGAGAAAGCATTGCAAAATACTAATGCCATGCTACTTATGTTCTTGCAATAAAACCAGCAAAGCATCCATATCAAGAGAGTTCTCATCTCACTTCCAACATTTGCTCTTCACGAACAATTTGAATGTCTGGCATCTAAAGTCTCATAGGTCTATGAAACTTCTGGTAGATTTTTATGCTCCTTTGCATGACCTTTCAAGATAAAAGTTTTACTTGTTCATATAAAAGGGTTCTTATTTCTTGTTCAATGGGAGATTGAGTTTCTGGACTTAGTTTCTCTGTATCACTGTAGGTCATAACTCCAAGCTTTTCACTAACTCCAAATTTGGTAACTATCCACCTTGCTATTTTTTTTTTTTTTTTTTTTTTTTTTTGAGACGGAGTTTCGCTCTTGTTACCCAGGCTGGAGTGCAATGGCGCGATCTCAGCTCACCGCAACCTCCGCCTCCTGGGTTCAGGCAATTCTCCTGCCTCAGCCTCCTGAGTAGCTGGGATTACAGGCACGAGCCACCATGCCCAGCTAATTTTTTGTATTTTTAGTAGAGACGGGGTTTCACCATGTTGACCAGGATGGTCTCGATCTCTCAACCTCGTGATCCACCCGCCTCGGCCTCCCAAAGTGCTGGGATTACAGGCTTGAGCCACCGCGCCTGCCTCCACCTTGCTATTTTAGCAGCATTATCAAAAACACTGGAAGTACCAGTTGTAATATGGTAGGTTCCAAATATAAGCTCCTCTGCCACTCTCACCCCCATACTAGTATCCATTAGTGTGAGCAGCTGGACTCCAGTTCCATTTCATCTGTAACACTGGGTAACAGGAAGACATGTCCAAGTGTTGGTCCTTGTGGCATGGTTGTAGCTTTGTTGATAGGCATTTCATCCTTTGTGTAATATGCAATAATGGCAGATTCATGATATACTGTGATGGATTTGTTTTTGTTATGAATTTTTATCCTGCTTTTCTCAGGCCCCATAAGAATTTTAATCTTTGGAAAACTCCAATTCCCTCATGGTAAATATTTATTTTCCATCAACAGCTGTAAAAGAGCGTATATTTAATTCTTACCAAATGTCCTGAATAGACAAAGCCATAGAAACAAAAAGTAGAGGCCAGGCACAGTGGCTCACGCCTGTAATCCCAGCACTTTGGGAGGCCGAGGTGGATGGACCACGAGATCGAGACCATCCTGGTCAACATGGTGAAACCCCGTCTCTACTAAAACAACAAAAATTAGCTGGGCATGGTAGTGAACATCTGTAGTCCCAGCTTCTCGGGAGGCTGAGTCAGGAGAATTGCTTGAACCCAGGAGGCAGAGGTTGCAGTGAGCCAGGATTGCACCATTGCACTCCAGCCTGGGTAACAAGAGCGAAACTCTGTCTCAAAAAAAAAAGAAAGAAAAAAAGACAGAAAGCTGATTAGTGATTTCTTAAGGCTGAGAGAACAGGAGAAGAATTAGGACTGACTAAATAGGGGGTTCTTTCTGAGGTGATGGAAATGCTGTGGAATGGGGTAGGGATGGTGACTGCACAGCATAGTGAATACGCTAAAAACCATTTTTCTGTACACTAAAAAATGGTGCATTTCATATGGTGTGAGTTATATCACATAACCAAGTAAATAAATAAATAATTTATATTCAGGTTTCTGCCCAGGGTTTGGGAAGCTGGAAAGAGTTTCACTGCAACCCTAACCATGAGTAAAACTCAGATCAACTCTATAATGCAGATTTCATCTGAGACTATCAGAAATCTGAGCTCTGGGAGCAATTGAGTAACCTAAATGCCAAGGAGGAGTAGGATGCCATGACAAGCTCCACAGAAGCAGAATGCATGAGGGCAGGAGGCTGCATTACAAGCTGGGAAGGAAGAATCAGATGAAATTGTAATGAATTCCTGGGGAGTTAATGTTTGCTGGCCACCAAGAAAAAAGTATCTCTGGGAACCTAAAACAGAAGGGCACTAAACACTCACCCACAGGCTTTTTTCCAGGGATCTCAACTGGGCATTCACAAGATAGATTGTGAGTAAGGCGGAGACCCAATATTTGCGGTCAGACATGATTACCTTCCACTGTGCATGGTCTGAAATCTCACCCCCTGCCCAGATACTTCTCCCATGTGTAGAAAAAGACTCATCACTGGGAGAAGTTCAGCAAAACTTGTCAATCGCACACCATAGGAAACAACCCATTGTGGATGTAGGAGGGTAGATTTAAGAGTCCCTCTATCCCTAGGAGTACTGCAGAAAATTTCTGAAACCACAAACATAGATATACAAAGGAGAGGGATGGGAAATTCCATCCCAAATCAACCAGAACTACCAGGTACAATCCAGCTGCCAAGGACAAGGAGGACAGAGACGCTGAAAGAGCCCCACCCTTCAGGCCCCCACACACAGAAACTCCCCAAAACAGGCTAGGTGAGGACAGGAGAAATTTCTACTCCCCACCATGAGCCTATCCCTGAGAAGCAGGCAAGAGCAGTCTACAACTGGGGGAGGCCGTAAGGCACCAAGTGGAATACAGGATTGATGCAGTGGAATCCAGCCAGCTGTGGGGTCAGCAGTCCCAGTGCAAGCAGGAGGGACCCATGAGTGGGATAGCCATAGGGCAAGAAAGGAGGACATGCCTGGATGCAACACCAGCGACTCCCTCTCATGAGGGACTGTGTAGCCACCACT